AGCAGCATCATGAAATGAGCAAAACAGTTGGATTTGCCGCACAGACAAGTATTCACACTTTGGTTATGAATGAGAAGTGGCTTCAAATGCAGCACGGTGACAGGGAGTTGAGGGTAGCTGATGAAGAAAGGGAGCAAACGAAATCATATCAACACCAAGAGTGTCGATTAGGTGAGAAAACGACATTTTAGCACCGTCAGTCATCCCAGTTTCATGCCTTGGAAAAAAAAAAAAAGGAATCCAGCACTTCTATGAAAAATGCATAAAAGTTTGCAAACACATTTCCTGAGCTTTATGTTTCTGGGCTACTTCTCAGTGAAGCAAAACCTTGCACAAATGTCCCTCATTACTCAGAGGTCTCAGGGAGTTTGGTTACTGCAGTTCAATACACCACCACCTCTGTTTCACAGTGCAAATAGTTGATCATACATTCCATACAATTTATTATGCCTATATAAAACTAAAGATGTGACTCTTACTGACACATTTTTATTTATCTTATCACTTTCTGGGTATGGAAGCGTCGCATTTTACCACAGCAGATTGTCACAGCCACTTTGAATGCGTGTGAACAGATTGTACTTTGAAAAAGAAAGGGGTGCCTCCAGCAACGTTTCATGTCTGCATCCCATCTCTGTCTGAAACCAGGACTAATATTGTTACATTATACATTTTCAAAAACATATCCATTATTCATACAGTATCTCCATATTTTAATACTATTAGCACTTCTATGCCACCCACCTAAATACCTGTGTGTTTCTTATCAAAGGAGCAGTGACAGTCTGAGTTACTTTATTTGTATGTGGAAATGAGTTGAGAGTAGGAAAAGTGTTGACGTGGAGGACCATCACACAAACTTAAATCTGCGAGGTGATTACAGTATGTACACTATACAACCTTGGATCCAGACACAAATGGGCACAAGAGAAACTTCACTTTTACCTCTCAATGGAGTGTTTGTGTTGATAAGACAACAAAGGTGCACACTCACACACGCACACACACACACACACAGAGTGCTCCACCTGTGTGGGTGGGAGGTGTGGCCATTCAGCAGCTGAGTGGGGCAGCATATGGAGTTTCTAATTGGGTAGAACAGCACAGCTGGAGGACACCAGTCCAGGACCTGGCCTCTGGTAATCAGTCCCACAATCCTCAGCTCCGCTGCACTTCCACCGTACTGTATGTGAGCTTTCAGTGGTGAGGGCTGTTGGATGTTTCCTCGCATGTCACAGCAACCTGAAACTTGTTCACTAACAGATTTTTACAGTATGTTTTCCCTTTTGACTCAAAGTCGTACAGTATTTACTGCATGAGTCCAACCACTGACAACATGCATGAAATCCCTAATTTTACATACTTAAACCAGCTGAGTCTTTGTTACAAGGGAAAACGAATTCATGATATGTTGTAAAACAAATTTAAAGAATTTCCATTCCATACAACTTTATATTTGTACTAAACTACAATGGAGAGGGAACTATTGTACTTTTTACTTCACTACATTTATCTGACAGCTTTAACTGCCTCTTTGACATAAAAAGGTATCAGTTTAAAAAAATACTTGCTTTTATATTACACTATAATGACAAAAAAAGTATACAGTAGTGTATAAACCATTTCTGAGTTACAGTGTTGGTGGTGCTGTCTGTTTTGTATTCACTGTTGAAATGTTGTTGTGTTTTTGCAGAATGAAATTTTAAACTCAGTGTCTTTTTATTATGCACTTGAAGTTCTGAAAAAGAGCAGAATGTTAGAGACATGGAAGCATTTTATCATAAACCCAATAAATCTAACTTCACATTTGTGGTGGGAGAATAAAAATATGAAATTAGTGAATAGCAGCATCCGAGGTGTTCATCAGGGTGTTAGGTATCAATAAGTGCTCCAAATTAAATAGTTGCGCTTCTGTTTGGGACTGCTTAAGAATCTCTTTTAGCATTTGTGATTAAAGGTTAATTGTTTGTACATGAAGCTCAGTGTAAAGCAACGCAAAATAAATGGAGCTGAGAAACTGAAATTTTACACTAAAGGCTTCATTACGCAGTCAGTGTCAGGATTTAAGAAGCACCTGCTCTGGGTACATTTTTGGAGTGTACTAATGCTTCACAGTGTTTTACAAAAAAAGATGACTATATAACTATAAAGACATGCACTGAATTAGAATTTTTTGGACAGAGTCGTGCTGTATTACCACACCATTACCATCTTCTCAACCACTTCGCCTTGCACTCATCATCCACACACAAACTCCCTTTAACTGCTGACATCAATTGAGAAATGCTTGCAACTCAGCGTGCAATCTGCGGCGCCTTCATTTGCAGCTCTACACCGTGCACCGTGCCTATAATAGCTGATAATGTGATAATTAAAAGAGCTGACAGGCAAGAACTGTCAGCAAGACACCCTGATTTACCAACCTCTGCTATTTGTTATACCTCTCAAATTACAATGGTTTCACCCTTCAAGTATGACACATAAAATATCAATTGAAATAATTAACTACTTTAGTACTGTGGTGCAGAAAGAGAAAAGCGGAGTACGAATTGATAAATCTGTCTGAAAAAACACCGCAGGATCAAATTCAGACCTGAGACAAAGATTCCTAGCAGACAAAAGATCACTGCCATGTCTCTCTCTCTCTTTCTTTCTCAACCACACCATGATTTATTACCTGAAAAGACAAGAGAACTAATTAGTGGAGTAATTAATTAATATAAATTTGCATATTTGCATTTGCAATTAGTGCAGTCAACTGATTAGTCTGAGATGGGGAGTTTGACTCATCAGATGTGTGTGTGTGCCTTGTATATGAGTGTGTGCTGGACCAGAACGAGCAGCAGACCAGCTGAGGCATTTTGGGGGGAAGGTGGTGATGAAGTTCTTTTTTTTTATGGGTCTGTATGAGTACTTTTGGGTACAGTGTTTGTGATCTGTCTCGTACACCTGAGGTTAAGTGTATTCACAGTCACTAGTGTGTGTACATGCCGTCTCTGAACCTGCTATCTCACCTTTGCGCAGTCCCTCACGCTCTGAACTTAGAGCGCACTGTGGCACTCTGCTGCCAGGGCTGTATACCGCTGATCAATGTCTTGTAATGACCAATATAGAGAGATTGATAAATCGCTTTAATTGATTCTCCTTGCAACAAGGTCATTCACAGGCATACGTTTGTGTGTGTGTTCCACATAACTGAGGAGTGCATATACCCATATCAAGTGCCAGCTGTGCCCCAGTCTGGATTTGGCAGCATGCCACTGGGCCTTTTCCATGGGGTGTACTTAATGTCTACGGCCCTGAGGTACCAACACCGCGCATGCCCCTCTGGTATGCTCACACCCTCCTGTGCGTGTAAGGTGCCTGCTGGAATGTCTTAACCTGTTTTATATTAAGCTGCACTGACTAGTTGATGTATCGATTAATTGATCAACAGAAAATGAATCAGTAACTCAGGCTGCAGTTTCTCTAATGTGAGGACTCTTTAGGTTTGGGGTATGTTTTTTGTTTTTTTTTTTTTTTTACCATGTCCTGACATTTTATAGAGCCAGCATTTAAATGATCAATCAAAAACTGCCCTGTAGATTAATAAATAATGAAAATAATCATTAGTCAGGGGGCGGCTGTGGCTCTAGAGGGAGAGTGGGTCGGTTTCTAAACGGA